ATATATTGATTGAAACAAGTAAACAAATAACGTATCAGGCAGCCAGATACATCTTTGTTCAGGTATATTTTTCATTTTCATCTCAGTTCCCAAAAGCAGATTTAAAAAAATATTCTGGAATACATCGAGGAAACTGTTTTTATTTCTGGTGAGAAGGCAATACCATAGGGTAGAAGCACCTGAAGAAAAAACTTGTGTTCAGATCTAACTTCATATCTTAGACAGAGCAGGGACTCTTACTAAATACTCTCCAAAGATATGCTTTGAGTGAACAGATTCTACCATGTGTAGCCTTAAAGGTGATGACAAAATGCTTTGAATTGTGCCTGGAAATAAATAATCAATGCATCTCCTACAATATTAAACTTATATAATAACTGGGTTGTCACAATAAATAAAATAAATAAAAGTTTAAATGCAGGATACAATTTGGGTCAGTTTTGTCAGCCAGAGGTTTGGTCTTCCAAGCTTTCATGCTGGAGCCCATCTTCAGGAACTTCCCTCTAGCAGAGTGTGTGCTGTTCTGTATATGGTATTTATAGTGCCTGTTGTATGTGGCTTTTTAGATGTAGATTGGAGTTTGTTGATGGCTGACTTTTAAATCATTAGCTGTTTTTTTTGTTTCTATTGCCCTGCCCTCACCTTCTAAGTACTTGATAGGCTGGTGGTAAATTAGCAGTCCTGTTGATTGATGAGGGGTCTGTTTCCCAGGCTTCAATCACTTCCCCTGCTGTTTTTGTGCCTGCTTGTCCAAAAATCTTAGTAGCTGCAAAATTAAATGTGTGTCCTTGTTCATTGCAATGTGAGGCTACCAATGAGTCCAGATCTCCTCATCTGACCACTCGCAATCAGGTAGTTACTTTCCTCCCCATCTGTCCTAGTTACAGGGGCAGTCCATGCAGAGGATTTGGTAGATTACATTGGAAGTATCTTCCACCTCCAAGCGATCTTTACAATTCATAATTTGTCCTTGTATGGTAGCCTCTGGGCGGTGTGTGATGCCCACTTGCATATCTCAGAAGCTGCATTCTACAACTTCTGAAATGTTTTGATGTATGGTAGGATGTGCCATGTGATTGCTCTTTTGCCTTATTTCTCCCCATGTTGTGAAGACACCTTGCAACAAATGATTGTGGGTACCCATTCTGCTTGAATTGTTCATGTAGGTACCTGCTCTCCAACTGTTTGGCTTGCTGGGTACTACAGTGGGTTCTCACTCTGCCATATAGTGTTCTGATGCAGTTTGTGTAGCAGTGGGTGGTTGTTGTTGAAACTCAGAATGCATGGAATGTTGGTGGTCTCGCGATGAACTGTGGTTTCTAGGCTTCCATCCTTTTGTCTGTTGACAAGTACATCTAAAAATGGTAATTGCCCAGCTGATTCTTCCTCCATTGTGATCTTTATATACATGTCGATTTAATTGAATATCTAGTTTTGCACTAATACAGTTTCTTGGTGGTATTCAAGAGCATCCCCATGGAGGTTGCATAACAGTAATGAGGCAAAAGGCAGAATGACTATTGCCAAAATTTTCTACTCCAGGTATGATCACAATTGATACACCAGAGACAACTGAGTGAAAGTTCTGTTGGCTATGGTTTCCATCTACTGTTCACACAGGAAACAGGAGTCTATGAACAGAAGGGGAGCCTTCATTTAATGAGCCCGACAACCAGCAACTCAGTAAGCAAAACCGAACTGTGCTTATAATCTTTTGGTTTCCTTTGCTTTACAGATTTGTGAAAATTGGTAATAAAATTACTTTTTCATCACAGTCATAACTGTGACTTTAAGTCAGTTGACTTAAAGATCCAAAGTTACTTTACCTACCTAAGATTATACAATTTTTATCTGCTCGTAAGAGTTTCACATTAAAAAAATGACTTTGATATAGGTTTATAAGTGTATTTAATTAGGGCCTGCTTTCTACATCCCAATTGATATTCCCTGGTATAAAAAACTCAGTGCATTCAATAATTTATGTTGGAAAAATATGTATATGTATATATGTATATATATGTATGTATATGTATATGTATGTGTATGTGTATATATATATATATATATATATATATATATATATATATATATATATATATATATATATATGTTTTCTGAGGTTTTCGCGGGTATTTGTATATAGGTCTTTGGTTGTTCGGGTTTTCTCCCGCGTAAAATTGGAAGTGTCTTGGCAACGTTTCGACGAAGTCACATTCGTCATCTTCAGGCTGGTGTTTTTAGCTTCTTGCTTTGAGCAGCAATGTGTGGTTTTAGCTGTTTCTTCCTTTTAACTGCCAGTGAGGGTATGAACTGATTGGATGGGAGCTTGGCTGTGTTCTGATTGGGTGGAGGTGTGTTCTGAATGGTTAGGGGCTTGGCTGTGCTCTGATTGGGGGAGGTTCTGGGGGCTCAGGTTAGTCTGAGTTGCTAAGTTTAGGGAGTCGTTTGTCAATAAGGGCAGGTTTCCAAATGGTGGTAGGCGGGAGGTATCATCTCGCTTGTTCATGCTGTGTGGGCGTTTTTCTATCTCGATGGGATTATTCTGTTATTAAAATGTTTTGGCAAGTTCTGGTTTTGTCCTGTGGCTTTAAGGTGTTGGACCAGGGAAGATGTTGGTTCCTCTTTTTTGACTGAGTTCTTATGTTCTTCAATGCGTGCACTTATTCTTCTGTTGGTTTGTCCGATGTATGTGGTGGGACAAGTGGTGCATGGGATTTCGTATACTCCTTGATTTTCTAATTCAATTTTATCTTTGGGGTTTCTAAGGATGGTGGATATTTTTCTGTTTGTGCAGAATGCTGTTTTGATGTTGTGTTTATGGAGGATCTTACTGATTCTGTCTGTGGTGCCTTTTATGTATGGGAGGAGGGCTTTGCCGTTTTCTTGTTCTTTGTCTTGGATTTTAGTGGGGGTTTCTTTTTGGATTAGGTTTGTAATCTTATTTCTATGGAATCCATTGGATGTTAGTACATTGGTGAGAGTGTGTAGTTCGGGTTTTAGGTGTTGTTCGTCAGCTAAGCGTTTTGTTCTGGAGAACAAAACAAAACATCTCCAGAACAAAATGCTTAGCTGACGAACAACACCTAAAACCCGAACTACACACTCTCACCAATGTACTAACATCCAATGGATTCCATAGAAATAAGATTACAAACCTAATCCAAAAAGAAACCCCCACTAAAATCCAAGACAAAGAACAAGAAAACGGCAAAGCCCTCCTCCCATACATAAAAGGCACCACAGACAGAATCAGTAAGATCCTCCATAAACACAACATCAAAACAGCATTCTGCACAAACAGAAAAATATCCACCATCCTTAGAAACCCCAAAGATAAAATTGAATTAGAAAATCAAGGAGTATACGAAATCCCATGCACCACTTGTCCCACCATATACATCGGACAAACCAACAGAAGAATAAGTGCACGCATTGAAGAACATAAGAACTCAGTCAAAAAAGAGGAACCAACATCTTCCCTGGTCCAACACCTTAAAGCCACAGGACACGAAATTGACTTTAAAAATACCAGAACCATTGCCAAAAGTGAACATTTTAATAACAGAATAATCAGAGAAGCCATCGAGATAGAAAAACGCCCACACAGCATGAACAAGCGAGATGATACCTCCCGCCTACCAGCCATTTGGAAACCTGCCCTTATTGACAAACGACTCCCTAACCCCAAAATCTTAAACCCCTCTGCAACTCAGACTAACCTGAGCACAACCAAACAGAACACTCCCCCAGCCAATCAGAGCACAGCCAAGCCCCTAACCATTCAGAACACACCTCCACCCAATCAGAACACAGCCAAGCTCCCATCCAATCAGTTCATACCCTCACTGGCAGTTAAAAGGAAGAAACAGCTAAAAACCACACATTGCTGCTCAAAGCAAGAAGCTAAAAACACCAGCCTGAAGATGACGAATGTGACTTCGTCGAAACGTTGCCAAGACACTTCCAATTTTACGCGGGAGAAAACCCGAACCAAAGACCTATATATATATATATATATATATATATATATATATATATATATATATATACACACACACACACACACATACACACACACACATATATATGTATGTATACATGTGTGTGTATATACATATACATATTTGTTTTCTGAGGTTTTCGCGGTTGCTTGTATGTAGGTCTTTGGTTATTCGGGTTTTCTCCCGCGTCAAATTGGAAGTATCTTGGTGACATTTCGACGAAGTCCCATTCGTCATCTTCAGCCTGGTGTTTTCGGCTTCTTGCTCCTAGAAGCAAGCTTCTTGCTCCTAGAAAACACCAGCCTGAAGATGATGAATGGGACTTCGTTGAAACGTCGCCAAGACACTTCCAATTTGACGTGGGACAAAACCCGAATAACCAAAGACCTACACATATACATATGCATATACTCTCTCTACATTCTATTTTCATTATTTTTTCAGTGACAATATCTTTCTACAACTTATATTTATTTCAGTTTTAAAGTAAAGGACATAAAATTAGGGATGCATATTTTTATGATTTCAAAACAGCTTAACTTTTTATCATTTATGTTTGTACTGTCATTCTAATTTGTCAACTATAATGTTGACTAAGCTATAAAAAAAACTGAAATGTCCCAATGGATAAGTCATTCAAAATGAAGCATAGTTCTTGGGCTTTTTTTCCCTTTAGCCTGCAAGGTGACCTTTCCTAAACTGAGGCTTTGACTACAAATCAGGAGAACTGTGGTCTGGTTCTACAGAAGATCAACAACTAATTGCAAACTAATGCTTAAAGCTGGCAAAGATACAGTGTCTATGAATACACATTGTCAATAATGTATTATTTCTCAGGAAAATTTTCATCTGGCATTGGACACTATGTACAGATCTATCAGGGCAAAGAAAAAGCATTTACTAGATTTGTGTACACAAAATTGCCTACAGCTTCACTTCACTGCCACAGCGTTCTAGAGATATTTAATGCAAATCTTGTTCAAAAGAAATAACCAGAAGACATGTTTATCAATTTTTATTAATACAAAATTTCATAAAAAAACAAGTTATATACATTAACACATCACTTGGCAATATTATAAATAGGCTTCTATGTACAAAGTTGAACAGACGGCAAAAAGATAATACCCAAAGGAAGCAGACTTTAAGGATAGGCTTATTGGGTGTTTATATTTTATTGTGCTATATTTATCTTTTTCCACTAGAGGGATGTGTGTGGTGCGTGTGTGTGTGTGTGTGTGTGTGTGTGTGTGTTAAAGTATTATGCATCCAGGTATGCAGTCAGCAATGATGCATCCAGGTAAATTACACTTTGACAAAGCAAGCATATTAAAACTTGAAGTTACTATTCATACTACAGAACTTTGGGTAAAATAAAAGGATGACAAAGGAACATTAGAAACTTCATCAATATATTAAAAATTCAATTTAGAATATTCAGTACTCACAGATTTCCTTATGTGATACAAATATATATTCCTTAGTGTAAGTAAATAAAATATACAACTCTTACAAAGCAGAATGCTGTATTATTATTATTTCTGTGCTTTAAAACAGAATGATATACATCAAAAATAAAAATCAATCCAGAGTTCTTAAATTATCTCTGATTTGAAGAGATAATATCAATATTACACTACTTGATGTCAAAGCAGTAATATACAATAGTAACACAACTATGGAAGAAAGCTCCAATGAAAACAGTAGAATTAGAACCAGACAAGGAATTTAATACTGAGCATGTTCCATTTTTGTTTTTTAATTGAGTCTTCCATAAATAATGCCTTATCCAGTTTTCTTCTAGCTGTTGATAAATAAGAGAAATTTGTATTTGGCATTTGAGTAAATTATTCATGAAGTAGAAAGTTACCATAGTTAACGTTCCAATCTACAGCTTTTCAATTTAGTGAAGGATATCCCAAACAATCACATATGCCATATCCCACTAGACTTTGCACTTGCATTTTCTTTTATGAAGCACAAAAATTATTATGAAATATAGAACACCTGTTCATTATCAAGAATTCTTGCAGCAGACACTGAAAAGATGGTTGCTTGATGAATAAGCTCTGATTAAATCCTTGATAATTTGTATTTCTTCTACAACTGAATTCTCAAGCAGTTCATTTTCTTCACAGATGTGAATTCATTTCAAGAGATGACTGTCTATAATGTCCCAGCAGGAACTTTCAGCTTGATATCCCAATCAGCTGTTAGTACTATCAAGACAGAAATTATGATTTATGACCAAGATTAGTGTAATGAATTACTGCCAAGCTTTCAGGAGAAACTAATGCAACTGTTTAGGAAACATGGCAAAAGGAATAATAACAAAGTCTACCTTTGCCCAGAATAAGCAGATTTAAGCTCTATTTTAAGCTCTATTCTGGATTGAGCACTTCTATATAAACTACAGTTATAGTTAGCATCAGAATGAACCTCAAGTAGCACATTAGCTTCAGACTAAATTCTAAAGAATATTAATTCAAATAAATTGTGTATTCCAGGAGAGAAACAGTTCTTACCTGCTGGCTGATAAGGTTTTTCTGCCTATATTTGGAGGTGTTGGCTCACAATGAAAAAAGCTTTTTATCCACCAGCATTTTTCAAATATTTCAGGTAGACCTATAATGCAAAATATCCATTGTATGATAAAGCTTCAAAGCAAAAATAAAACGATTACTTTTAATGAAGTAGCAATATTAGAGAAAGATCAAGCTTAAATTTCACTGAAAACATATAGAGATTAAGTGTATAAAAGACAGTGGAATATTTTTTCATGCTTTTTCTGGACTAAAAACTTTGATAAAGATTCAATACCGTGGTGATTTTTTTCCTGGTCTGAGAATGGCATGGGATCACAACAGCCAGATGAACTGCTTGAAGAAACACTGGACTCAGAATTCAATCGTGCTATATGTGAAAATAGAAATATTACATTCTATTTCAGAAAATGGGGAGCATTTTGTATTTATTATTAAAAAGTAAACTAGTGTTTAACTAGTTTTCCTTGAAATCCAACATTTTATGTATTTTTGTACAAAACCTGAAGTAGCTTTGATAATAGATGATCAGATAACATGTATACTATGCCCATTTTACAAATCAGATTGTAATCCTATCTGAAGAGTGTAGCCATTTTATGTACGAAGGCTAGATCATATGATTGTCAACTAAGAATGAAAGAAGAACAGTTCTTTCACATTTTTAAATAAATAGAATGCAAATCTGATATTTATTTTGTTCAGTTTTGCATAACTCAAGAAATAAAGGCCAGGTGACCTAACCAACATCAGGATGGACAGACTGTTTGTCAATAACACACTCACTAATTGGAGTTAGTACTATAATTGTTCATATTCCTTTCTCATGTTTGCTTATTGGCCTTTGTGACTAACAGGGAGCTGCTAGCTTATTTTTATTCATGAACATATAACATTAGTACCTTATCAATTAATAGTGCTCTAAGTCACTGACTTTCATTAGGTTCAAGTGCACAAATTTATCATAATCATAGTCTGTGATAAGACTAGATCACATCCAAAGATTGTACATCAAAGACATGAGATGCAATCAGTAGAAAATTATTCACAAGTTGAATTAAGGAAGAGACTGAAGAAGTTCCTGGTTGTTGCTAGGCTAGTTAAGAAAGTGAAGCATCAAATTATGTTGCAATGTAAATACTATACAGGCCTGTCTAATTTATATAGAAACAAATCAGTTTTAAGATCATGTCAATCTTGAGGACAGAAAACATCTAAAATACTCACTTCTGTAGTACTGGTTCTTGGCTAAAAGGCAGCCAGCTGAAGGCACAGTTGCCATTGTTATGTTGTTGCAGAGTAACAAATTGCCAGGGCCCTTCAGGATGAAAGAAAATGGGAAAGCTCTATATTACTTTTCCACAGCCTATGGATAGGAGATTATATTACCTATTTGCATAACAATACATACCTGGGTTTTGTAGAGGGAATATATTTAAGACACCACATATGTGAATATATTTGATTTATACCTTGGCTTTTTCATGCCCAAAGCTTTAAGATTTATTCTTGTTGCATAAAAATAAACCCATCCAATTTTTTTCTACTTCTATAAAAATGTAAGATGGGGACAGCAACTTGATACCCTCCTACTATTTTTCACTATAATTCCCACAATCCCTTACCACTGATCCCTGCTAGCTGTCCTCCTCAACTTGTCTTTGCAGCAAATAAACACACTTGCAATTGAAAGAATTCTTTGAAGTTTCACAAAAGATGTGAATAGTTTACAGCAGTGTTCCTCAACCTGGTTGGGAATTTTTGGGAATTAAAGTCCATGCATCTTCAAGTTGCAAAAGTTGAGAAACACTGATTTAGAGGATTTGTCTGTCTCAGTTCTTCTATCTCTTCTGACTGAAACAGTCTACTAGCTTTCATCTCTTTTTCCAGTATCTGAAGATGATCAGAAGTGCAGGCTGAGACTATACTTCCAGAATCCAAAGTATGCTACATGTGCTGCTAACAGATTACCTCTTTGAACAAGCAGTGATTTCTTCGCTGAGAGACCATTCTGTGTACGAATCAAGTCTTACTCCCACTTACATATTCAGGATATGTGCTTAAAATTCCTCAAAAGCCTTAAGAAACTAAAGGCCAAGCAGCTTTTATAACTTTCTTTTCTTACTGCACAATACATAAGGAGCCGTGTTTCTCATTAACTAGTCCCAACACGCAACTCACGTCCAGTCTCTGTGAAATCTCTGCAGAAGAACTTTCTAGCCTCCCCACTTCTTTTAAACAAACAAACAAAAAGTAACATATAAAGTCGCTTGCTTAAGTTACTTCAGGAAAGAATGTATCGTAATCGAAAGTGTGGATTTGCATTCCTAGCATCCCAAAAACATAAACAGAGCTCTGATTACCTATTACCGTCTGTCACCGCGGTGTCCTGGAACACCTTTTCGCTTTCTTCGGGCAACCAAAGGAGGATCCTACCAAACCCGCGTACGTCCCGGAAGAACAATAAAGGTCAGTCGCAAAAGCGTAGCAAGAACGCAGCCCGTCCGAGTTTACCAAAGAACCGTTCACAAGTGCACCGTTTAACTTCCCACACCAGACTCCAGGACTGGCTTTATATAGAAGAACGAGAGGCATTGAAACTTGATCAGGCATCTGAAAGGGGTGGGGTGAACGAAGCCTCCTCGTCTCTGGAGATTTTCTTTTGCTCAATAGGGTAAAGTTTGCTCCCTTGTTCCTCCCCCCGCCGTGCTGGACTACCTGATTGTATGATGACAAGGGCAACAACAACAAACATAGGCCACTCTTTGCACACGCGCTAGGCGATTGACTCGTTGGAGAAGAGCACATGCCCTTGGGTCGGGAAATGTTTGGCAATTTCGGGAGAACTGACGAAACGGTCTGCTTCCTGGGTGAAATGGAGAGGAGCAGCTTAATTTTGTGAATGGCCTTTACGATTTAGCCCAGCATTTCTCAATCTCAGCAACTTTAAGGCGTGTGGACTTGCTGCCGGGGGAATTCTGGGAATTGAAGTTCACACATCTTAAAGTTGCTGAGATTGAGAAACAAGCTATCATTTGTTTGGTTTGGTTTTCTTAAACCAGGGGTAGGTAACCTGTTGCCCTCCAATGTTTGAATTTAGCAAATTTAGGCTACTGTATTATGCAATGAACTGGATTATCAATATCAATAAATGGAAATAAAGATTTCTTTGGGCTGTTATCTAATATTCAGCTGGCTTTTGTAGCCCAGGGACAAGATTGTTGGTGGTGTAAGGCAATTCTGCAGCGCCAGCCAAGATATGTGTCTCCTCTGCTTCACCCAGCTTGAAATTAAGCCAGGAGACTGAATTATATTTCTGTTGGCTCTTCCAGTGTGGCAATAATGCTGGCTGGGCATTTGGTTTGGGCTACAGTTAGAGCAAGTCTTGATTGATGGATACCTTTCTTTTGCACCCCTCCTAGCCACACTGAGATAGAGTTAGGGTTAATGTGGAATAGTCCTTTGGGATTGGGCGGCATATAAATACTGAAAATAAATAAATAAATAAATGCACGGTGCAGGTGACCAGGAACTTTCTTGTGGATTTCTAGAATTCACTTTGGCTGTCCTGCTACAAAACAGTCAGCATTTTTAGAAGGAAGCAAGAAATACAAACTTTGCTGAATCTTCTCCTGGCCACAGGAAACATGGCTTTGGGGCAGGGCCCTGTTGCCAGATTGACTGCCCTCTATCAGGGGTGATATGGGAGCTCAGAGCAAACAGTTCCCCCAAACCATGAAACACGACTGGAACAAAGGCAAACACACCAAAATGTTTCTCCCAGCTTATATGGAATCATGGGAGAAGCTCCTGCACTAGTTTCCTTTTTTCCATAGGCAGTGGTGCAACACAGATCCGGACAATCCATGGTTTAGCAGGCCTCCTTTATTTTGCTTCATTTATGTTCTCTGGCTTCTGGGCAAGGGGTTGGGAGAGAGAGAAGTTTGTTGCCTTCAGTCTAAAGCAAGGACATTCCAGCACAGATTGAATAAGAGCCAAGTCAAGGAACAGGGCAGAGAGTCAGAATTAGCAGTCTTACACCTATCACCATAGAAGCAGTTCCTGTCTACAGGATCAGCAAGTGCAAATAATAATACTCATATGCAGCATGTATATTCTTAGGAGGGAATTTGGGAGTACTTTGGGTACTGTTGCATGGTGATGTCTCCTTTCACCGGATCCTCAACTGGAAGCTTAAGGGCAGGAGAAGGGCCAACTACAGTGTTGCATAGGAAAATCGCAATTGATCATGCACCTAACTAAATGAGCCCCTAGGGTCTGAGAGAAAAATAACTCTCCATCCTGATATAAGCCATGGCCCAAACCCACATTCAGGTATATGCACAAGCAGTGATGCTGTCAGCTCAAGGGCCAAGGTGCAGCAGGTGAACTGTGAAAAGCCATTCCACCTCCACATCCTTCTACTAACACTCCACCATCATTCAAACCATCAGAGTCACATGGTCCGAGCACCCTACCTAGGATGCAGATGCTATGGAGGTCATAACACTAATCAGAGGACACATTGAAGTTAGCTGCCCCACACACTGCCGTAACAGGTCAGCGGCAGCTGATGGGGATGCCATGCTAGCATATCAGTCATGATATGGAGGCAAGACTAGAAGGGACATATTGCTGATACATTTAGAGACTAGGAGCTGTATGGCACTACTCACTTATAGTCTATGGCCGTGGTGGCAAACCTATGGTACGCATGCCACAGGTGGCATGCAGAGCCCTCTCTGTGGGCACGCGCGCTGTCGCTCCAGTCCTAGGCCTTCCACTGGGTTTTATAAAACCTTTTCACTTTAGGCCTCCACCGCCGTGTGCAAAATAAATAAATAAATAAATAAATTTCAACTTCTCGCAGGAAAAAAAAAGATCTCGCAAAGTTGGAATTGATTGCACTTTTTAGTCCCACCCATCTGCCGTTACCACTGCAGCTACGCCCATCCAACAGGCCATGCCCACCCAATTGGCCACACCTACCCGGCACCTGACAATACATAAGTGTGCTTTTGGTTACAGTTTGGGCACTCAGTCTCTAAAAGGTTTCCCATCACTGCTCTATGGGAAATGTTTTGGTCTTAGTCTAGATGTCATGGCAGTGAGGTATGAGTCAAAAATGATTTGCAGGCACATAATCAAACAAAGTCACAGATGGTCTTTGCAAAAAGTGTCTAGATTCTGGTGATTGGCCTGGAGCTCCTACTGAACTTTTATCTCACCACAAATTTGGTTTTATTCAACTTTTGGGATATTGGTCCATTTCCCAGAAAGAAGGAAAAAGCAATCTTATTTCCATAGCTCTATACCAGACATGTCAAACTCGTGACGTCATGTGACATCATGCAACGTATCAGGTTGGTTTTGCCATTGCCAGCAATGGGGTGGGTGCGGCTTCCGGATGACGCATCCAGCCCACAGGCCAGCAGTTTGACACCCCTGCTCTATACTTTAATATCACAGGCAAGAAGGTGGGACTATAACATTCATTTCATTTCTTTTCATTTCCCCTTTTTAATTTTCCAAAAAGGCAACATAGAATGTTGGACCTCCCTCTCTCCAATGCTAGGGTTAGGAGAAGAATGCCAAATGAGGCATCACTCTTGTAGCTGGATGGTAACAGAATATCTCCTGATATTAGTTTGCACAGCATGGCAACTAATTGTGTTTTTCTTAATTACACCAATTTTCAGTGTTTCTATAAACACGTTAGTCTTTAAATCAATGTTTCTCAACCTTAGCAATTTTATGATGTCTAGATTTCAGCTCCCAGAATTCCCCAGCTAGTGTTCTGGGAGTTGAAGTAAACATATCTTAAAAGTTGCTGAGGTTGAGAAATACTGCCCTAAATCAACAACACTCACAACACACTAGGGTAAATCATACTTCCTTGTCATAGTTGCTGATTCATATCAACTTACCATTGTCTATCAAAAAAAAGAATCATTTTCTTTAGGGAAAAAAAGTAATTGCAATTGAAATTTCCAGAATTCTCAACCCACAACCCCAAAGTATTTGGAGAAAATTACTTATTTGAAAACCAATGAAGGTTAACTACAGCATGCTTTTGCACCAAAAATAGCAAGGTGTTGGGCTCATAAGTCACATTGAGCAATAATAAAGTTTATTTTATTTATCATTTGTAAATCAAAATTAATACTTTAAAATGTTATGTTAGCCCATCCAATTGTGATTCATCCCAACCACTTCTCCCCTTCTTGTCTTATCTAACAAATTGTTGTGGCATGACCTATCATGGGCCTAAATCCCTTCATTACACATTTTAAAATTGTAACTATAGTGAGATGGGATAGGTTACCTTTTGATATATTAGTCAGATCATATTACTCAGCTTTGCAACAGTTTGAATGGCACGTCCTGTGCCTTTCTTGAAACCTCTGAAAGTAATAATGTCTCTTTCACAACATTACACAAAAGTATAGAAGCATTCCTGAAACTTTAGATTTGTTTCTCAATTTAAACAAGAACCATTTACCCAGTACTGGTAGTATTTTACATGAACCTTCTGTCAGAGTTTCAAATGGCAAGTTATAAACTTTCCAGAGTGGAAAATTGGAGACTTGCCCCAGGTTAGCATAGTAGAGCGGGCAAAGTGTCTTCAAGTAAGGTCTGTGCTAAAATTAGTAGGTTGAATTAATTCAAGTTTTATCTCTTAATTTTATTTATATTCTTGGAGATATTCTGTCTGCTGGGTAATGTAACCAGTAGAAATTGCTAACACAATCAGGTATCTTACTTTGCATTTAAACTGAAATTTAATTCACGTACTGTCTGTCGAATGTTTGTAGGTAGCAAAAATAAATCTGCACTAATTTTATCTGGGTTTTGGCTCAGTGTTTCAGCCACCTGCCATATAATCCTTCTTCATTCTGAGAAGAAATTACTTCTGGGGGAACTTTGAATCTTGGTGATATGGCAGGGATCAGATCAGTCATAAAGAAATATATCAAGTTTTTATTCAGAAGGGCTAGACTAAGAAGCTGAAGAAACTGGCCCAGTTTGTGAGGGAACACTTGCCACTCAGAAAATGGTGGTTTGTTTCTACTTTCATAAGAGGGGAGCCTCCATAATTTTCTCTATAATAGAGAGAGTGAAATTATTATCCAATAGATTTGTGCAAGGTGGCAAGTTTATCTTTGTTGACAGTGGTATCCATAAAGTGTCAAAATCATGCTTTTGTATGAGTATGCCTCACAAAAGTGATGACGCTTTGGTCATGGTGCTGGGCCAGATATTTTGTAAATTTCTATCTTCCCCCTCAGTCACCCCACTTTGATGAGGAACTGTCTCCATCAGAAGTTATGCAGTACTCCAATTCTAATATCCAAGAAGGATATTAGATATTCATACATACATAGAAACCTTCTGGGATAGTAGAATTGGAAAGATTTTTGCCTTTAAAAGCAGGGGAAGCATTATTTTATGAAGCAGCTTTGTAAGGATGTTTCTCACAAATTAGTCAAAGCTAAATATCCCATGTAAGCTTTGCATAGTTCTACTGTTAAAGATCACTCACATGGATTTGTGTGTACATGATGGAGAATTTCAATGGAATTAGGAAATTATACTAAAAGCATTCCCTATCCACAGTGCAATTCTTCTCAGTTAATTTGGTCAAGAAAGAATAGAAAAATGAAGAATGGGATGTTATTGTTGCTGCTGCAGCTGTAGCTGTTGTTGTTTTGATAAGTACACAGCCATGGAATCCTCAGCCTTCATTAATCTAATGCAGTTTCCCACAACCACAGTGCTATCACTTTTGTAAAGTACTAGAATAGAGAAAACTATTCTACATTTCTGATTTTGGCAAGCAGCTCTCTAGTCCTCCTGACAACACTGCTTAAACAAAACTTTGAGCCTAAATACAAAACTACAAAAACAATGTGATAAATAGATAGGTAAGGTCATTTTAATGATAAACCATTTCCCCAAGATCTCTACAAAAAAAGCCCCAAAATCTTATCATAGTTTAACTCAGGATTTGCACAACTCGCTAAATATTTACATTCAAGAAGAATTGAGAGGAAAGTTCATCCACATTTATAAATACATCGAGATGTCAACAGCTTTATCTGATGAGCCCCTTCTTGGAAATGTTATCTGAGACATGAGTAACTACTGTATAACAGTGTTTAATTAAAAATAACTTGTTATTTGCTATATTTGTTTCATCGGGCATTTTAAGGCCAATTAAACTGCATCTACTATTAATATATAAATTATAAAATCAAAATTGATTAAACACATTGACATATCTTCTTTGTTCTTTTCTAGGACAGCATATGAAGAGCTTACTGTATTGCCTGGAAGTATTTGAGTCTACATATCTCAAATGTTTTTTTTAAATAAGTAGCCCTAAGCAACAGAAATGAATATAATAAATTGGAATGTGACCAGTAGAATACAAAATTAATAAAGCTTAATATAAGAGAATGAAGGAGAGTACATTGGCTGCATAACTGCCATCTTTTGGTGGTCCAGCCTGTTGCAATCCAAATAAGTAGCACCAACAGTTTATAATTGTTGAGAATATTTAATTAGCCCAGTCTAGTCCATGGCCAGTTGAAAACTCCAAAATTAGTTTATCATAACTCTTAACTTAGATAGCTAAGTAAAGTAACTCCTAAAAAAATCATTGTATTTGATGTGGAATGGGATTAAGGTGCCATGAAATCTCCATTCAGATCTGTAATATGGCAAATTGTCACATCTGTGCAGGTAATGATAAGCAAGCCTGTACGAATGATACTTCATAGTTATGTTGTTACAAAAACATGTTCAGTATTCTTTGTTATATGTTTTCTTACATTTTTCATCTTTTGATCTATATATTCTAAATATTTTTATACAGTTGTGAGGCAGAGAGATGTTCTATATTAGTACCTAAGCCTATTGCAATGCTTTATGCAGGTTTATAATTTTACTCTTGTTTAATATAAAACAATTCATTTATACTTAGTTTAATATTGTACTGCAATCTAAATAATGTATCTGAAGTAAGGAATAATCAAAACAAATAATAAATGAGGAGAGGGTCTAAGAGGCCTAATTTAAATAAAGTTGGATTAGATCAAAAGCTATTCATGTTCAGTTCTCCCATTAGTTGATACTGAAAGAAATACAAGCCCTCAAAAAAGCAAGGAAGTATATGCCATCAAAACTACTCAACATATTACAGATATTCTTTGCTTCCAATGAAGCAAGTATAAACCTTAATGGCTGCTGGTTAATGATAACCATGGTTATTGAATAAACCATTATATCTAGGTTCAAGCAATACAATCAAAGACTAACAAACTACAGTTTGGATTAATGAGCTATGTGAGTACAGCCAGTTTGGCCTTTTTTTATATGAGTTGATCTGCCCTACTAAAATGGGCCAAAAATACTTGTCAGGTATTTTTCTAGAGTTAGGGTTAAGCTTAAGATCTCCCTGCATTTTTCTTTACTGGCAAGAAACTGAAACCAAATCCTAATAGTCATAGATCAAGCCAAGGTAAGCTTGAATTCTAGCAAACAGTTGTCAATACTACAGTCATCATTTCCTCCACTTTGCTGTCATCTAAAGGTTCTCCAGATTTTTATGGTCCAGATATGGCAACTATAGTAAATCAAATTCTAGTTATACTCCAGAATAGTATAGTAAAAAGATAAAGACACAGGGAAGAAAAATAACAGAGATGCTAAAGGGTGGGAAACACTAAGAATTAATTTTCCAGTGACTTTTATAAATGAACTTTGCAAGTACAGATAGTTCTCGTTTAATGACCACTCATTTAGTAACCATTCAAAGTTACAACAGTGCTGAATGAGGGGAACTTACAAAAAACCCTCGTAGTTGTGACCTTCACAGTCTCCCTGCAGTTATGTGATCATTATTATTTTGGCAATCATCAGTGACTTGTAGTTATGATGCTTCAGCATTTTGCAGTCCCGGGATTGCCATTTGCAACCTTCGCTGCCAGCTTCTGACCAAAAAAGTCAATGGAAAAGCCAGTAAGAGGTCACAAATAGAGTGGGATGCTGCAACTGCATGACAGGGATTTGGCTAATGATAGCAGTTGGGACTGCTGGAACTGCTGTCATAAGATGGCGCAGTCACGGATCAAAGACAAACCCACATTAAGAGAATTTATGGGGTTTTAGTTGAATTGGATTCAGAAACGGAACTAATTAAAGATTGTATGATCAGATGGGCGCAGAATTTTGGTGAGCCAGTTCCATTGGACACCTGGGAAACTATTTGGGTTAGAAATGTCAAATTTACACAAGCACAGAATTTAAGGGAGAATTTTTATAAAATGTTCTATAGATGGCACCTTGATCCACAAAAAATGTCTTTTATGTACCCTGACCTACAACCTAAATGTTGGAGATGTGGGTGTATGGATGCTACTTATTACCATATTTGGTGGTCATGCAGAGAGATAAAAGCATTTTGGATTAAGATATGGTGGAATATCCAGAGAATTTTTAAAAGGAGGGTAAAATTTACTCCGCAATTATTTTTGTTGGGTATAGTTACTGATTGTGATACAAAGGAGGTTATATTAATGTTAAATTTGATTACAGCCGCGAGGCTGTTAGTTGGACAATATTGGAAGAAGGAATCTTTGCCTACACTGCAGGAATGGTTTTTTAAAGTGTCTAATTTGGCGGAAATGGCAAAGATTTCGGCTTTTTTAAAGCAACAAACGCAAGAGAAATTTCTTGCTGTTTGGGATAAATGGATAAAATTTATACAGTTTAAAATGGATATTAAAAAATATTATATAGCTTTTTCTTAATTTTTATTTATATATATATATATATATATATATATATATATATATTTTAAAATATAATTTTTCTAATTGTTTTTTTAATTAAGCCTATATTCTGCTCTGGGAAGCTCGGGGGGGGGAAGGGTGGGTGCTTGGGGGAGGTTGGGGAAGGGAGGGTTTTTTGTGTAATGTTTAGTTTTTTCTTTGTATATGTTTTTTGTCTTTGTATTGTTTTGTTTTTTTCCTTTTTTGTAAAATTTATAAAACTTTTAATAAAAAAAAAAAGATGGCGCAGTCACAGGATGTCATGCCTTACGGCTGCATTACTTTGTAACAGAGTTCCTGGTGTAAGTGATGAATACCTACATTCAAAATTAATACCCAACACCATAAACAAGGAAGACTTTACAAATGAATGTGTTGTGGGTACTATGTTCAAACTAAAGATATAGGCTCCATTATAGGTCTTGAAGTTAAGACACTAAACTGTGTCTTTTGTACCCAATTATTTTAAATTGTGAGCTGCCTAAGTTCATCTTGGAGTAGCGCCTACAGCTATTAAACTACAGCCCTCCATCCCATGGTAGGAAGAACTCTTCTCTTCCATGCCACCTTTATTCTGCCTCTTACCTGACCTTCCAATGAATCCTGGACAGTAAAACAAAAGGGTTTCTTTAGCTTTTCAACACCGGGGCTGTAATAGACAAAGCACAATTTTTTTCATATGTGAAATTGGCAAATCATCAAATTAACTAAACCCACTCTAGGTCTGACAAATTCCTCATTCCAATAATAGATTTCCCTCACACAAACCCATCACCCCGACTTCATCTTGTCACACAAAAGGTAAAAATTGCAAACCCCTCACAGTGAGCCAAACACATTTTCTCTCTACCAGACTAGATGTGCTTCCTAGTAATCCCTAGAAGGCAGGATAACTTTGTGCCTTCTCTAGAAAGCAACTCTATAGAAGACTTCTCTATAAAAGCAACCTTCAAAACTGTAACTTTGTAGCTACCTTTAACTGTTGTGACTGTCTTGCTGTGTCTGTCATGTTCCCAAATAAGCCTCACCTCTGCTTCAAGCAATTTGTCCTGTGTTCTTTGGAAAACCCAGTTCAGATCACACCAGAGTTTTCCTGTAACACAGTGGTTCCCAACCTTTTCTATACCCTGCACCCCTAGAACGCTTCTGATATATTCTCGCACTCCTTACAAAAGTTTGAAATAATGGCAATGAATTATGCATATACACTATAATTTTGAAACTTCTAAACGCAAGTTTTCGCACCCCCTGGAATATCGTCTCGCAACCCCGGTTGGAAACCCCTGTTCTAACACCATGGCAATATTATTAGCACTTGCATGAAAGAACCTGCATCTAATCCTTCTTTCCACAAATAAGGTGTCACAACATTCAAAAATAAAACTCAGTCTCCTTATGGCTTAGGATACGGTTTATAAACTAGAGCTCATAGCATACTGTATTCTACAAACTTAGATTGATACTCATTTACTGCTCAAAAAAATAAAGGGAACACAAACGTATAGGATCCTATATGTTTGTGTTCCCTTTATTTTTTAAGCAGTATAGTTTAATAGGATATGGGAACCAGGTTTACCTCACTATTAGTTATTTTTATGGACCTATGAGATGATAATATACATCAGTGGTTCTCAACCTTTTTAATGCCGTGATCCCCAACCGGTCATAAGTCGAGGATTAAACCGGTCGTAAGTCGAGGACTAAACCGGTCGTAAATCAAGGATTACCCAACCAGTCGTAAGTCGAGGACTTTCCCTGCCCGGGAGCACTGCGCATGCATGGTGCTGCCCCCTGCACCAGCTGAGGCATAGCTGGCAAGCGGCAGAGACGGAGCAGGCCGACCACCGGCTGGGCCACCAGCTGGCCCAGCCCAAGGGAGGTAAGGCACCTGCTGGAAAAGGGGAAAAAAATGGTGAACAGCCTTGCTTGGCGACCCCCGTGAAATGGTCAATCGACCCCAAATGGGGTCGTGACCCATAGGTTGAGAACCGCTGATATACATGTTTAACTCTTTCACCCATCATCACATGGATTCTTATGTTTTTTGTAACTTTTGTCATGACAAAGGTTTATATATTTAATAAACCTGATCTTCTAAGTGTCTTAAATGAATAAGATACCTCCATTATTAGAAAAATAATAGAGACAAAAGTAGTGTCAGCTTATAACTCTTTTCTACTTGTAAAGATGCAATCTTCATATGTTTTTTCAGAGACACCAAAGAATTCATTACATTGTAGTAACATAGAAAACATCAAATTCACAAGAATCTTACTCATGATGGGATAAGATAATTGTTTGAGGCAGCATCATATTCAACATATTGTACTGTGACAACAGTGGCTAGTAATCTATAAAACCAAATATGTCACAATAAATGTGTCAGTCTTTAAAATAATGCTAAATATTTATTTATGTATACATGCATAAATGCTGCAACAATCTGAAAGTTAAGATTTTATTATCTTAGTGAGAATCTTTTGACAGATATCAAATATTTGTCAAAGAGGTAGTAAAAGTAACATACCGTCTTTTATGCTATAGCAGAAAATGAGGATAGTATGGTCACGGTATTTTCTGAAAATCCACAATTCTTGATCCTCCTGTATAGATTCTGTGACTTGAATGTGTAAATAGCAGCAGATTAAATGAAGTAAGTCAAACATTAAGAACATTCTTGAAAAATTAACATTCTAAAATTTATGTCCACTCTTTATTTTGATAAATCATAATTTCATACACATACCTTTCATACACTTTTATTTCCAAACTTATTTTCAAAATGGCTCTGCCTTTCACATTAAGCAGCAAGTTCCTCCCCATATATGGAGCACACTTGGCTTTTTAGTGTATATTGGGGGGAAAAAATACAGTGACGGGAACAATTCTTTTCTCTTGTTATGTGCCATCCAGAATCCCCTTTGGGAGAGATGGGCATCTATACAAATTTGATAAATAAATAAACTAAATGTTCTCTATAAGGACGTTAAAAGTTGCAATCTGACTCCATTTTTTGGAGAATATTGATTGTGCATCCCTATTTTCAATTGTTAATTTTTATTTCTTCTTAATTAAACATTATTGAATTCTTTATTAACCAAATAGGATAGACTATGATATTAACTAAAGAGGATAATAGGGAGAATTTATCTACATAATTTGTTGCCAATACAAGATAAGAGATCCATTCATTCAACATCAATTCCTGATAACTTCATAGCCATGTCCATATAGTTTTCTTGGCAGTACAACACAAGTTGTTTACATTTTCATCTTCAAGTGTGACTCTGTGTGTGTTTTATTTTTTGAGATCCTAGCCTAGCACATGGATTCAAATTTCCTGCAGATATAACAGGAGCTTAATATTATATATTTCTGAACAGTAAGGGTTCTAATTTCCTGTTCCAATGCAATACAAGAGCACATAATAATTTTATTTCTTGACTCTTATCTGGATTCTCCCAAAAAATCATCTGAAAAAGACCTCATCCATGCCTGATGCTGTCTCCTTTGATTGATTATATATTGTGAAATGCTTTCTTTCTATATTTCTTTTAAAAAAAAGACAGATAGCTATCTTTAGACTGTATTTGATTGCATAGACTATACCTAGACATAATTTTCCTACAGCATTGCTAAAATATAAGCAATTGTTTTTTGTTGTTGTTAGTTGCGAAGTCGTATCCGACCCATCGCAACCCCATGGACAACATTCCTCCAGGCTTTCTTGTCCTCTAACATTTTCTGGAGTCCATTTAAGCTCACGCCTACTGCTTCAGTGACTCCATCCAGCCACCTATTCTCTATCATCCCTTTCTTCTATTGGCCTCAATCTTTCCCAACATTAGGCTCTTCTCCAGTGCTATATATAAGCAATATATGTACATATTTATACATATAGTTGGCTATAGTTATCAATAATCCATGTATCTTTCTGTAATGAGCTTTATCTCTTTACAGTGAAATTTAAGTTCATTCCTCTATTCACACTTTTTGTTCATAGTCAAAATATTAGGAGGCTTTAACACCTCTTTATTCACAAAACTGCCATCTCATGTTCCATAGGAATTGTGCCAATAGATTCCTTGTACCAAAAGTCTTTCCTAATGTTTCAGAGTTGAGTCACATCTATCATTATAAACTCATTTATGAAAGCATGCTTAAAATGAGTGACTTCTTTTGACATAAAAAGCAGCCTAGCAGATAAGGGCACACAAAGGAAAGCTAACATCTATCTATCTATCTATCTATCTATCTATCTATCTATCTATCTATCTATCTATCGATCTATCGATCTATCGATCTATCGATCTATCGATCTATCATCTGTCATCAAATACATATTTATGCAGCCTCATTTATCAATGGAGTAACTATGTAATTGATCAAAATCTGACAGTTATTTCAAAGTCCATTTTCTTTTCTCTTCTCCTTTTTCAAGGATATTGTAAATTCACTAATTGGCTGTTTTGTTTTGTTATTTTTTTTACTCAATAGTTCCCAACCCATATACACAACATAAGAAATATTCTCATCATTTTTGTTTTTATTCTGTTACAGCAGACTTTCTCTGTGGTATATTTGATTATTGAGCTATTGTTCCCCACATTAAATAAAATCTCCCTTAAGGTAAGCTTGACTCTTGATAATTTCAAGGATGTTTCCTTATAGTTTTCTCAACAATGTTACAATGATGTTACTTTTTGTTCAGAGAGAGTAGGGTTAGTGTAGGCCAATCCATTTCTCTTGCATGACTTTAATCCTCTTCCTCTACCTCAGGAGTTCTCAACCTTGGCAACTTTAAGACTTGTGGACTTCAACTCCCAGAATTCCTCAGCCAGCTGTTGAAGTCCACAAATCTTAAAGTTGCCAAGGTTGAGAACCCCTGCTCTACCTTTTCTATCACATGCCCAGGGAAGGCCTTAGAAATTGCCATATGTGACAAATAGTTACTCAAATGTTTCAACTACATCTAAAAAAAAATGCACATAAGACAAATTTTATAAGATTTTGAGAAATCAATTTTATAGTAAAATATATTGTAGCCCCTCCTCTTAATAATGTTAATTTTCTTAAATTGGGAAGGGGGGAAGAGGAAATAATTTTTACTGTTCCAAAGTTTTAATTGGTTTTTTAATTTTAAGTGACTTGATTATTTTTTAAAAGATTGGGAGCTTCCCAGAGTTGTTTGAAAGATGAGTAGCTATATAAAAATTATAATAACAATAATTAAAATAAATAGTTCAATAACATTTTACATTGCAGGAGTGAAGAAAGAGTTGCCCATGATTGCCTACTCTTGCCAATGGGGATGAAGGCAGACATTGCAGGGATTCAGCTTAATCTCATGCAACAGAAGTCAGTTAAGAGAATGCCAGAGGGAGACCTGGGAAAAGCTGGACTGACACATTTTTACCTTGTAGCATTTATCACTCTAATCTCCCACAAACAGCAGGAAAGAGAAAGTGAGAGAAAAGGATCCTCTTTATTTCCACAGTACCAAGTAAAGGTGTTATCCCCCCCCTTTTCCCTCCTTATGTAACTGATGAGCCCCTTATTTACAAATTGGCAGCCCACCCCGGATTTTACCTTCCAAACACCGAAATGCTGCACAGGTAAAGTAGAATGTATTATTAAATAAGCAGTACTATATTCTACTACCTAAATCAGGGGTGTCAAACTGCCGGCCCGGGGGCTGGATGCATCATCCCGAAGCCGTGCCCACCCCATTGCCGGCAATGGCAAAACCATCCTGATACGTTGCACGGCATCATGTGACATCGCAAGTTTGACGTGTCTGACCTAAATGATACTTTTGGGCAAATTAAACAATACTTGGTAAGGAAAGGAGGATAATCCTTTCTGAGTAATTCTGAGAAATATGGTAACAAGGTCAAATATAAACCAGATACCTTTGTTCTCAGAACACAATTCTAGAGTGTGACCAGATTTATCTATCCAGAATCTTCCAAATTATTAAGTGTTCTCCAGTGAAAGTCTGAATAAGATGTTTGCTAAAACTGCACTTAAAAGTAAATGTAAAAGAAAAGCTGGAAATTTATAGACCTCAAATACTGAGCTATATAGCCCCCCTCAGTCCACCTTCTATTTTCTGACTTTCCTGGAGATATTACATTAACATCACAAATGTTATTGACCTTCTATACTTACAGAGGGGTATCTCCAACAAGATGAAAGAGAGAATGAAAAGTTTGTGGAACCAATTTTTTTTCAAGAATCCAAGAGCAATTCTACACTTATTTTTAATTCACACCCTTACCATGAGGCCCACATAATTTTTGATTCCTGTAACATTCAAATTTCATGCTAGTTAAGGTGATGGAATCCAGCACTTTCCTCTGTATTATCTGGTCTTTCAAAGCAGCATTCATTGAGATGGCCACTATAGCCTAGAGATGTGTCCAGGGGTCTTATGAAGGGCCCACATTCTATGCTTTCAACGTCCAAATTGATTGCGGCCTACTTTGATTTAGTTTAATTAAAAAATTAATATGTTTAGGAGTACTTTCTGATTGTGCCGAGTTCACCATTGAAATTTTCTATTTTCTCCATGCACAGTCAAGCTGTTTGTGGGCCAGCAGTGAACTTCGACCCAGTTTTCAGTAGCCTCTTAAAATAGGTTGGTGCAAAGTGTTCCTCTGTTTTTGGCATGTTATATCTGCATTGACGGCAGCCTCTGGTAACCAATAAGATTTTTTGTAGGGCAAAAGTGACTTGTGTGTGCTGAAAAACTCAGAAAACAGTTGCATTCTAGGATTAATCCCACAGATAAATAACTTAAAACTGATATCTAAACCATCCTGCATTTTCAACAGAAAATGATTGGTCTAAAAAGAATGTCTAGAGTCTGACCCAATATAAGATCAAAATGTTAATAATAATTTGACTTTTATTTCAGTAAAAGTGGGATCTTTATTACCAAGCTCATGGAAGAAAACACAAACAATTCAGTGGTTGGATTTTACAGTTTTTAACATTAAACACATTAAAAGCAATCATTTTTTTACTGTAGAACTTGCACAAAAGGGACAGAGAAATAATAGAATCAAACATGCACCAGATTTTACTACATTAAATGGAGGACCTTAGATATATTGCTTCAATTTTTATTCTACACATGTCATATAATAACTATATTCTTTTCTACTATCATCCACATTCCAACCCTGCAAAGAATTGTAGATTAGGCCATATTGATTTTCTATTGATTCAATTACAATAATTGATTTTGCCTTCTAAAACACTAATCCATATTGTTACAACAATCACAATGATTCCAGTGCAACTTTATTTTTACTTAAAAAGCTATGGTCCTATATCCATTTATCTAGGACCAGTGACCAATACAGTGCCAAGATAAAAGCTCACAATGTAAGTATTTTCTTTTTGAGGTATTCAGTTCCCAAAATGTAAAGGATTTTATAGGTGACCTTGTTATAGAAAAACTCTTAAGGAGGAATTTGGAGAAGCAATTGCCTTGCTAGAGATTGAAGCAAGTGTGAGAAAGAAACTCAATGACCAGGCTTTGATTTTGCTGTATAAAGAAGATAGAGAAAAATCAATGTAAATTTCTTTGTGCACAGTGTTATTCCATACCTATGTTGCCCAAAATTACTGCCCTTCTCTGTTTAGGGTGAGATAAACACCATTTACTTTTATAGCAAGTGTGAAAAATCAATGCAACTTTGCAAATTAACATAACATAATTTCACAATTCCTGTTATTATATAGCATAAATTAATTCTTATTCATTCAATAATATGATTATATTGTCTTAATGACATAACAATCTCACAAGATAAATGGATTTCTATGAATCTAAATTCTAAAAGTTAGTGCTGTTTTTGTCTTCTCAGTTGGCTCTTACCATTTGGCTGGCTAAACTTCCCACAATTTTCTATTTTGCTAATCATAGATACAGCAAATCAAGTGATAAAAGTAAGATTTAGCAACTTATGCAAATAGAAGTCTTTTGAAATTTATATTAAGAATGGGTTTTATTAAGATAATAACACAAATATAAGTGATTTCATTTTATTAAAAATGCTATTGTTACTGTCACAATAATTTTATGTTTCCTATTATATTCTTATAGTTCTGTATATCACTGCATCATAATACTGCTATACAGGAAGCACTTAAAAACCAAAATATATTGAGAAGACTCTTAAATTCATAGGACTAACATATGGATTCTATTGTGATTCATGGCTCTGCCACTGACAAGATCTACACTATCAACCCTTTTCTAGTATTTTTTTTTCCTGGTTTATATTGAGCTTGGCACAATGTTTTGCTGTATGATAAATACACCAAAGTGATTTAACTGGGTGCAGCTGAAAGTCCTAAATATACTGTTATTTCTGGGAAAAGAGCAGATTGATAATGATTTGTGCTTGATGACTCATCTTACTGTCCAATTTACTGTCAGCGAGTACCCAAAACATATGATAAAAACAAGAAGCTCTTCTTTATTAGGTCATATGCTATGAAATAAACCAAAGTGTTTAGAGCTTATGGAATTATAGTCCAATATATCTGGAGGATGCTAGGAAAGACTGGGTTGGATTAATCTAGCAATCAGCAGGAAATTCTCTCTCTCCAGGAGGGCATACTGGCATATCATTCAAGTACTATACAGTGGGAGTTACTTCTATTCAAACCATGATAAACCTGGTTCAATCTTCATCCTTTGTATAAAAACTCGAACTTTCTGAGGGAGATGTGTCTCATCCAGAAAGCAGTGTACAGTATTATCTTTGTGGTAAGTTTGTGCCATGCAATTAAGCTACATACTCCAAGGCTTTTTAGATCTTCAAAAGAGAGCATGCAAGGCTCATGTTATGGGAGGAAAAAGAAACTGAGTAAGGCATATTATAGTTTGAATATACAGCTACTCCATAAACCACCTTTCCAATCTTATATTCATTCAAAATACAAAAGAGAGAATAGTCACAGTTCATTGATTATAAGTAGATAATTGAAATGGTGTATATCCCCCCTGGCAAGTATTTATAGAAGTACTTGTATTGTCCTTTGGATCCTCAAATTAACTTCTTTCCAATTATCCACATTTGGCTTTTACAAATAACTACTAAGGTTGTTTAAACTGACTCACAAACATTTACACAGAAATCATCTTGGTTCAAAGATAGAAAGTCCATCTTTGTCTTCTTGTAAACCATGACTGTGATCTATAAGTTATTGAACAGAAATACTTCTGTCAGATAAATATTTGACTTCCTGGTTATTGAATTTAGTCTGCTATGCAACTACAGCAATCACTGTCAAATGACAGTGAATCCCCATTATTCTTCACAATGACAATTAGTAAGAAACAGATGTATCTTTACAAGCAAGCTAAGCTGTAGAGAGATTCAAAGAGAAGGCAAGAAGGCAACAGGGTGTGTCAGAACTATGGCTTCAGCTGATGACTAACACTGTACTCTGTGTGCCAGATGGAAATAAGCCTTAGTGTAACTGTCCTTGAAGCAACCATACAGAAAAGCTGGAGTGTGTGGGACAAAATGTCTCACTGTAAGAAATAGTATACCCTTGCTAGATAGACACAGTCCCACAGGACTTTGTAGAGTAGCACTAAACTAGCACTGATGAGAAAGTATTAAGGTCATTTAAGAGACATGCACCAGCTGTGGTAAAAGAAATATTAATCTATCACAAATTTGTTTAAGGCACAAATTGCCACAGCAGGTAGGCCAGTAGAGAAGGATCAATTGTGTGAAACAGAATATTCTTGCAGATGCTAGAAACAGCCCACATGAGGGGTAAACAGTAAATGCATCAAAGGCAAATACAGTATGTATTTATTCTGTGAGTTGCACCTGATTTTGTCTCTCACAGACTCTGCTACTTCTCTACACAACAAGGGCTGTCTGTTTTTAGGCTTGGGGGCACATTTGGAATTCTGAATATGTTGAGGAAACTCTAGCACAATGACTACTAGGAACTCTTTCTTAAAAAAAAAACATTGATTTTTTACAATAACAATCTTTGGTGCTTAGTCTGGGTTCATACATTTCAAAAAAACCATAATAATTAATTTCTATAATTCCATGATCAATATATTAATTAATAGCAAGTTTCCTTGATCTTCCCTTCTTCCAATGGTATTCTCCTTTGTCAACATTAGATAAATATAATATTTTCAATGTATACAAAGTTAGATATAAACATTTTTTGTGTTTGTACAAATAACAATGACATCCCTGTATAACGTATTTTCTAATTAACTTATGTTTCAATTGCATTTGTAAAAATCATCTTGTTAGGTCACTATATGTCCTGTTTTCAAAATTCTTATTTATATAAGAATTCTTAAGTACTATACTACTTATATATCCTATAACATCCATATATAATATCTTTTCTGAGCAGCTTATATTTCAACTATATTTGTAAAAGTCACCTTGTTAAGTCACTATGAGTCCTGTTTTCAAAATTCTTATTTAAGCTTAATTTCCTTTCAGTATTCAAATCATTCTTCTCACACATAATTCTCTCAAGATTAATTAACATTAAATGTCCAAACTTTCCATTCACATACATCATCCCAGTATTTTAACATTTCATATATTGTAAAAAATACTATACTACTTATATCTCTTATCCC